AGGAAGGTGACAATATCCTAAAATTCGGCAACCACAAGAACCAAATGTCTGTGCCTTATGTCATCTACGCGACTTTGAACCCTTGGTCAAACCCGTTGAGGCTGTTGGGGGTACCCCAACCACACAGAAAACACAGGAGCATGAGGCCTGTGGGTTTGGATACGTGGTCGTCCGATGTGATGGGAAAACGAAAGCTCCGGTAGTGTATAGGGGTCCCGACGCGGCTGAAAAGTATCTAAAGTGTTTGCAGGAGGAAGAGAAAAGTATTAGGAATGCACTGTATACAGTCGCTCCCATGCGTATGACCCAAGCCGACAGTCTAGCTCACGCCTGCAGCACTCTTTGCCACATGTGTGACTCACCACTGAATGGTGATTCGGTGAGAGATCACTGCCACGTCACCGGTAAGTATAGAGGCGCAGCTTACAACGCGTGCAACCTCAAGCTTAGAATCACCCCCAAGACAATAAACATCCCCGTGGTCTTCCACAACTTGAGAGGGTACGACTCTCACTTGATCATGCAGGCCATCGCGAAAGTCGACGGCAACCTGACATGCATCCCCAACAACATGGAGAGATACATCTCCTTCAGCTTGAATGGTCTGAGGTTCATCGACTCGGTTCAGTTCCTCCTGTCATCACTCGACAGTCTGGTCAAGGCCAACGATACCTTCCCCATCACTGATCGATATACCGATGCCGGACTTCGACCCCTGCTGATGAGGAAGGGTGTGTACCCCTCGAAAGTACATGGATGGATTGGGCCAAGTTCGCCGAGACCGACTGCCTCCCATCAGAGAATTTTACAGCAACCTGACCGACTCGGCAATCACCCAAGACGATTACTTCGCGACGCCGATTAACGTATGGAATAAACTGGGCTGTAAGAATCTGGGTGACTATCACGACCTGTACTTGAGGACAGATGTACTGCTGCTAGCCGACGTGTTTGAGACGCTTAGGGCAGACGTATTTTAAGCAGTATCAACTCGACCCCGCATGGTACTACACCGGCCCAGGTCTGTCGTGGGATGCATTGTTGAAAAAGACCGGAGTTAAGTTGGAATTGCTCACCAATTACGACATGCACCTATTCATTGAGAAAGGCTTGCGAGGTGGGATTTCCATGGCTACCAAACGATACGAAAAGCAAATAATCAATAATGAAGGGCTACGACCGAAAGCAAGCCAACCAATCATATTCTCTACCTCGACGCCAACAACCTGTACGGCTGGGCCATGAGCCAGTATCTACCCACAGGGGGATTCGAATGGGCATCGCACGAGATCGATGTTATGAGCATCGCGGACGATTCGAACAAAGGCTATATCCTCGAGGTGGACTTGGAATACCCCAAGACATTGCACACATCGCACAACAGCTAGCCCCTAGCCCCCGAACGTATGAGGGTTAACCCAGACTGGATGTCTGAGTACCAACATAACTTGCTAGGTGGACGGGTGGCAGACGTTGAAAAACTAGTGCCCAACTTAATGAATAAGACCAAGTACATCGTTCAATATCGCAACCTACAGCTGTACCTGTCGTTGGGTATGAGGCTGACCAAAATACATAGGGTACTCGTGTTCAACCAGAGCCCCTGGATGGAGCCTTACATCAGAATGAACACAGACCTGCGAAAGATGGCCACCAGTGACTTTGAGAAAAACCTCTACAAGCTCATGAACAACTCGGTGTTCGGTAAGACTATGGAGAACCTTAGGAAATGCGTGACCGTGAAGCTGGTTCGGTCGAATGAGGAAGACAAGCTCAGGAGACTGATAGCCAGCCCGGCATTCAACCGGAGCAAGATATTCACCGACGACCTGGTTTCCCTACACATGAAGAAAAGCCACATCAAATTCAACCGGCCTGTTTATGTGGGGATGAGCATCCTCGATTTATCCAAACACCTGATGTACGACTTTTACTACAACGAGCTCAAGAAACAGTACGGTGACAGGTGTGAAGTGCTGTACACTGACACGGATTCCCTGCTGATGGGGATTCGAACCGAGGACGTGTATGAGGACATGAAAAAATGCCTTGATTTGTATGACACCAGCGACTACCCCAAGGACCATGCCATACACAGCACGGTAAATAAAAAGGTCCTAGGTAAGATGAAGGACGAGTGTGGCACGCCCATAGCCGAGTACATAGGTTTGAGACCCAAGATGTACTCCATCCTGAAGGCCGACAATGGTGAGATCCGGAAGGCGAAGGGTGTTAAGAAGTACGTGGTGAAACAACACATCAAACACGCCAGATTCAAGGAAGCCTTGTTCAAGACCCGTACCTTTAGACATAAAATGAACACGCTTAGAAGTGATGGGCATAGGATATACGGACTGACTATAAACAAGACGTCCCTGTCGCCGATGGACACTAAACGTTGGATAGCTATTGATGGGATAAACACGTACGCGTACGGGCATGAGAAAATTGAACCAAGAACATAGGTGTATATATAAACACGATACCCTGTCTAGACGACATGTCACGGAACCAGAGAAAGTTTGAGGCTATTTACTACAGCCCGCGTGGGTACTGGAAAGGAGTTAGCGCCGTACATAAGCTGGCCAAAATGGCGCGAGTACCCCCGGAGGAGGCCAAAGCCTGGCTTGAAAACAAGCCCTGTGGCAGATCTATTTACCGGCACCACGCCACGCAAGCCTAGAAGGAAGTTCTGTATTAACATACCCAATAGCGTTCACCAGGCCGACCTCCTGTTCCTACCCCACGACAAGAGGTACAAGTATGCCCTAACCGTCGTGGACGTTGCCAGTCGCTACAAGGAAGCCGAACCCTTAACCACGAAAGACTCGGCCCAGGTAGCCCGCGGATTCAAACGCATATACAAGCGCAGTCCGCTGACGTGGCCCACAGAGCTGCAAGTCGACCTTGGCCGGGAGTTCATGGGTGTCGTGTCACACCTGCTAGACAAACACGATACCAAGGTCAGGCGTGGCACGGACGGAGCCCATCGCAGCCAAGCCATAGTTGAGAGATTCAATAGGACTTTGGCTGAGCTCTTATTCGGACATCAGTATGCGAGAGAGATGACCAACCCGGGGAAACGATCGACTGAATGGGTAGCGCGGTTACCTCAGGTGGTGTCGGCCATAAACCATGAAGCCACTCGGCTCACCGGCAAGAAACCAGCCGACGCTATCAAACTAAAATCAATAGTGGCAGAGTCGGCTGCGCCATTGGGTGGGAAAGAGAAACAGATACCAGATAGGGCCCTCGTGAGGTACCTATACCAGCCGGGGGAACACGAGGGTGATAGTCGTAAGCGAGCCACCGATCCTATATGGTCAGTCAAAACTTACAACATAGATAAAGTGGACATCAAAGCCGACGAGCCGAACTTGTACTACTTGAGAGATGGGCCAGGGAGAGGGTTTGTTAGAGAAGAATTATTAGTCATACCGTACGGTACAATGTTACCCCCTGTCAACACATCATAGCGGCACAGTAGTGCCACGTGGGGTCGGGAAGATAACTGGGGGTTCAAAAGTAGTAGATACAATGGTGGCGAGATCTAAGGGCCTAACAAAAGCTTTATTTGTGAAATAAGGCTTTGCAGAGGCTTTTGTTGGACTTGATCCCCGACTATCATTATATATACTACTTGTATAGTTTGTTTATTCCATTGTAGAGTTTTTCCTTTTTTGTAATGGTGAATTGAAGTTTCTGTGTATGTCCTTAATCATAATGCTGAATCTTGTTACTGGGATACGGCGTGGTTGAAGTTGATTGGTTGAAGTTTTGCTGATGGATTGACAAGTTCATACCTGTAATACACACACACACACACGTAAGAAACATGCATATTGGAAAAATATATTGCACAATGCAAAATAGAATCACTCATATACATGTACATGTTATTTCTTCAAGACGGAAAACCAGGCCTGTTACTGCATCATATACTAACAACCCAATTAAACTGATAACTCTGTCACTAAACTATAAGATGTTCCGTTGAGATTGACATCCAGTGATCAAGGGAAAAACAAGCGCCTTTAAGCAGCTGAGCTGGATATCGGCGCTATACAAATGTTAGTGTGTGTGTGTGTGTGTGTGTGTGTGTGCGTGCGTGCGTGCGTGCGTGCGTGTGTGTATGTAAACACATCTGTAGCATATCAATTCAGTCAGTGGGAACCTTTACGAGACCAATGGTTGCCCTTTGCTGGTAGATCCTATCATTGACATTGATTATCACAAAATATAAAAAGATTTATGTGAACCAAGATGATTGTGAAGATGACCAGGTTGAAGGATCCTTGACCCTGTTTAACAGGCAGGTCACTACCTACATCAGCTGGTCTGCCGCCAGTGTCTGACATGTCCCCCACCCCCTCACAGTATTAAATAGTTGTTAACTTTCACTGTTGTACAGGGGTGGAAATAACTTTAATATTGCTGATGTTGTACTCCGGTACAGTGGCACATGTAAAATCACTTGCCCTGATAATTTTTCGACTATACCGACCGTTTTCTTGTTGATTTTTTACATAAACAACATAATTAACATTGGAAAGTCAACTGGACACCGGTACAGTGTGATATACAAATTTGCTTGCCCGACAGAAAAAAACACTGGACTCGGACATCGGTATTTTCCACCCCTGTTGTAGAAACTCTATAGAGAAAATCTTTTCCTTTCACTTCTCCACAACACACCAGAGAAATATCTTGTTCTTTGACATTCACTTCTATCGAACACACTAGAAAAATCAGATTGTTCTTTGCCGTTCAGTCCTTTAACACTAAAGAAACTGTTTTAGAACATGGGAGGAAAAACTTATTCTTTGACTTTCACTGCATTAAAACAATTCACAGTGAATTTTCACTAGTTTTGTTACTTCTTTTATTTCGACAAAGTATCATGCTGTCTTTAAGATGAAAGTGAAAATTCCTAAATATCAACAGACTTAAGATGTGTGCAGCTAGCAAGTTGTAGTGAGCTTGTCCACTGTCTCCACTAGGTGCCCAGTGGGATAGAAGACCTTCCTCTTCCAGACAAGATGGCCAACATTGCCTATCAGAAACTCTTCAGTGTCCTTCAACATGTTCCAGACTTGTATGCTGTAAAGAAAAATTTTGCTGCCTTTATTGTGCAGAGAAGTAAGTTTTTGACTGAATGTCTTGCCTCTTGAATTTCTTGTGCACTTATCAGGCAGTCTTTAGGTCTACTTTTAGCATAAGATGTTGAATAGAATGTTGGTGGTTATTAGGATTAGGTTGAATTTCCAACCTTCATTGAACCTTTTGTGTCTTGAATATATTGACTTTTTTCTGTAACTTTGTTGTATAAAATATTTAAATATTTTATTTTGTTGTTGTAGTAATATTTTTTGTTACTTATATTTCCATATTCTTGTTTACCCTGTGCATTGCGTGTCCTCAAGGCAAGTTTGTCCACTAGCCTGTATCAAGGGCTGATTCACAAGCCTAGCACAGACAGTATGTGATTAGTTATCAGACTGCTGTTCTTGTTTCAAATTCCTTCACAAAAGATGGCTATCACAGCACTATCACTTGGCTGACAGTTAGTTGACAAAGGTTTGAGATTTCATCCCGACAAAGAACAAACTTGTAGATTTTCACAGTGAAGGTACTTATTACTGCTGCTTGTCGCTATTACGGCACATCCAGGTAACATGGAATGTTAAGCAGGGGATCATCTGAAAACAAACACTTCTCAGTCACTCTGATAACATTTATAATTTGATTATTCAACAACAATACAGCTTTCACTACAGTATATATGTACATGGGAGAGTTGATTGAAATCTTTCAAACACTTCCATAATATTGTCTTTGCTTGATGTTCGGAATAATTTCAACACAAATACAACGAGATGACTGTCAGATGATGATCCAACAGGAGATACAGTTTGTCAGTGAAAACATTACATATGAAATAAGACTTCACTAGACATGATTATTTACCATGTCAATTGTATTGATCTCAAACTAACACGCGAAGGACAAACTGGGAGGCATTGTTTTATGCATTGATTAGAAGAAATTGTGTCTAAATCTATTATTTAACAAGGACACATAGATCAATTCACTCACATGTCACAAACAATAGTCAAACTTTTGGATCAAGTCTAGAAATATATTGAACACTTTTGGAATGTTACAGTGTAACAACAGTTGAAGTACAGTTTGGATTTCTTAATGCAGTGATGCTCAGGAAGATCTCTGGTATTGTTGAAAAATGTCAAAACTCATTCTACATGGGTATTATATGTTCCCAAGTCTACACTCTTGTATTTGAGGAAAAGGTGTGTGCTATGCCTTAGAAAATATACTTGTTTCTCTGACAGATCTGTAATATAGATATTTTGTAGTGATGAGGAAAAGGTGTGTGCTATGCCTTAGAAAATATACTTGTTTCTCTGACAGATCTGTAATATAGATATTTTGTAGTGATGAGGAAAAGGTGTGTGCTATGCCTTAGAAAATATACTTGTTTCTCTGACAGATCTGTAATATAGATATTTTGTAGTGATGAGGAAAAGGTGTGTGCTATGCCTTAGAAAATATACTTGTTTCTCTGACAGATCTGTAATATAGATATTTTGTAGTGATGAGGAAAAGGTGTGTGCTATGCCTTAGAAAATATACTTGTTTCTCTGACAGATCTGTAATATAGATATTTAGTAGTGATGTGGAAAAGGTGTGTGCTATGCCTTAGAAAATAAACTTGTTTCTCTGACAGATCTGTAATATAGATATTTTGTAGTGATGAGGAAAAGGTGTGTGCTATGCCTTAGAAAATAAACTTGTTTCTCTGACAGATCTGTAATATAGATATTTTGTAGTGATGAGGAAAAGGTGTGTGCTATGCCTTAGAAAATAAACTTGTTTCTCTGACAGATCTGTAATATAGATATTTTGTAGTGATGAGGAAAAGGTGTGTGCTATGCCTTAGAAAATAAACTTGTTTCTCTGACAGATCTGTAATATAGATATTTTGTAGTGATGAGGAAAAGGTGTGTGCTATGCCTTAGAAAATAAACTTGTTTCTCTGACAAAATAAACTTTTGTAGTGATGAGGAAAAGGTGTGTGCTATGCCTCTTGTTTCTCTGACAGATCTGTAATATAGATATTTTGTAGTGATGAGGAAAAGGTGTGTTCTATGCCTTAGAAAATAAACTTGTTTCTCTGACAGATCTGTAATATAGATATTTTGTAGTGATGTGGGTTTTACCATATATTTGGGATTACACTTTCTTAGTTACATAGGTTACATTTAACCACTTTCTAAATAACGTTGTGTACTGATGTGGGAGAAATCATTTTGCATGAGTGCTTCACTATGGACACTAGGGAGCAATTATTTTGACACTGATACTGTTAACTGAAAAGGTGGTGCAACCTTTCTGTTATAAGTGTGAATTCTGAAGTGCTGATTCAAATTAGTTGTAACAACGAATGAAAGTATTACACTGGCATTGCAATGCTTCACATTTCAGAAGTCCAGTTTCTGCATGTGCAATGAATGCCACAAAACATGTAGTATTTGCATGAGATGTTAAAGTGACATGAACTGAAACAGTGTGTCCGCCACGTCGCCTCAATCAGCAGTTGGTTAAGTACTCGTTACACTGATATGATGGTTTCAACTTGATAAGGAATGTCAGTAAATCTGAGGATTCAACACCTAAAATATCACAACAATGCATAGATTGTTTGATTATTACGTTGATTTCATTGTGTTCACCTTTACTGGACATGACTTTGATCTTTATAGTAACACTTCATACCAGTCTAAGTAAACTTAAGCTCAGTATTATTCGTTACACTGCTCTACTGAGTCTAACAAAACCTTGTGGAAGGTCGCGTCAGGTAACCTTTGAGCGACCTATGACCGCCCAATCAAACGCGAGACGGACGAACAGATTTAACCAATCAGACAATGGCTACTATTTAGGGTTCCGGCAGTACTTACAAAATGGATTTTCTCTTCCCCGGTCGCCAACACTGATCTCACAACAAATGAAAACCCACATAAAACACAGATATATGACCTGCAGAATATACGCTTTTGGGTTTCTGTTGACATGGTTATCATTAGCTAATATTTCTGCAAGCTGACATCCTTGAATACTGACAAAAACGTTATTTTCAGCGAATGTTTACTCATTGCGTGTATCACTCGGAAGCGTTCGTGCGCAAAAATAGCATTCAGAATCGTTCAAGTTTTTGAGGGAAAGGTTCACACGGTATGTGCGAATGTTAACTTTCGCAATTTGGTAAGCTGTGTTCTGATTGGTCAGTCCAAAAGGTTAGCTGATGTGACCTTCTACTAGGTTTTGTTAGACTCAGTATAGCAATGTAACGAATAATACTGAGCCTCAGTTTACTTAGACTGCACTTGATACTAAATACGCTTTACATCATGGATACTGCCTTTGCACCATTTTCTTGTGGTCGACAAGAAGACAAGTGAGTGTGAACCCTAGTTCTGAATGCTGTATATCTATGCTGTGTCTTCAGGCTCCACAGATGTTGGGGAAGTGGTAGCCATTGGTGTTGGTAACACCTGTCTGTCCTCCAGTAATCTGACCACTGATGGACGCACCCTCATTGACAGCTATGCTGTAACAGTGGCAAGAAGGGCCTTACTCAAGTAAGTGCATGTACTACAAGTAAATCATCCACAGCATAATCTCATAACTTGCATGCAGTACAAAAAACTCTTATACTAACTTCTAAAATGACAAATATAGAAGGGGAAAACACAAATGAGGTTATCACTGTTCACAACTTTTTCTCAGAAGATGAAATAGATTATCTTCTAGCCTCTGACAACTGTCCATTGTAAACAGTTGCAGCTCCCAAACCACTCCTTTGATAAAACGTACAAGATTTCATTAATGATCCCAGGTACGGTGTCTCTGTAATATCCGAAAAGAATTTCAGTCCCGTTTTAAAATGTGTCTAATTTTAAGATGAGAGAGATTTTGAAAATGGAATTTCTGTAATGAGCTATGTTATATTTCGTATTACACTTCATGAGTAAAATACAGATTCTAGTACTTCAGGGGATTGAGCTCTATCTGTGGTTTGGACCCACACAATGCGAGTAGGGCACCTAATCGCCAGCACACAAAGTCAGAGATCTAGCCAACTCAGCCACTGCTACCTCCACAAAAACGGAAGTCGGTCAGTCGTTAGTCCAGATTACATACTTTGTGTATAAGTGTGACTAGGCACAGCTCTTTTGTTAGATATATCTTCGGAACAGCTTAATTAGATTTAATTGATAACACAAAGTTCAACTTACAAAGTAAAACCTGGGAAAAAGTTTTACTGGCAAGCTGTAAGACCCCTTCCCAAGATGAAACACTCATCCTCTTGTTTTTCAAACCATGGAGTGGAAAAAAACCTGAAACAAAGTTTTCAGCCTCTTCTAACACCTCACCCAAACACAGCCCTACTCCATCTATTGTTGCAGGCAGTCACTAGAAGATATTGCAAAGTATGCATCTTGACCATGACCATGTGGACTCCCAACTCACGTTAACTTCCTAGTGTGCAGACAACCTATATGAGAATGGAATATCTCTTTGATGCTTCAGAGAAGTATTTACAAAAGTTAAGAATAAGAAGAGAAGAAAAAAGACCCAAAGAGACTAACAAAGAAAGAAAATGACTCACATGAGCAGTCTTCTAGCAAAAAATCTAGAGGACAACAAAGAAGGCTTGACAGTCGACTGCAGTTTCGCTTATCCATCCCAAAGACACGTTCTTGGAGGGACCTTTTGCCTGATACATAAGCAAAAATCTTCGGTGCCTCCTGGGGACCCTCTGATACTCCCATACTGTTAGTTGCTTTGAGAGAAGTATTCCTTAGGTGAACCCTCTTCAGGATTCGTCAATCCATGAGTCACATTTGTCGGTCCTTCCAGAAGAGTTGGCAACCAATCTGTCTGGCTTGCTGATCCCTCCAATAGATTTGACGATCGCTTCCATTCTTCCCTCTCGCTATCCATTTTGACATCCCTCCCATTTACTGTTCCAAATGTGACATCTTACCATTATCTGTCATTTCTGATTACCTCTTCCTTGATCCTACAACCGTCGATCATATGCAGGTCGGCGATGGTACAGCTGTTGGTCACATGTATATTATAAATCCTTCATCCCTCAATCCAGCCTTCATCATCAATTCTACAGACACCGATCGTACCTAGCTCGTTGATCCTACAGCCATCTTTCACATCAACTTCCCTCTGCTTGCTACCATATCATCATCCAGATACTTCTTCCCACAGTCAGTATTTGACTCCTGCTTGGGCCTGCAGACCTGGATCTTCAATCCAAATACAGGATAGTGTTGTGATACCAGCCCAGGTTTAGCCATGCCTCCTGTAATCTCCAGGTAGGACCCTATTACAACAGATTGTTGATCCTCTTTGGCCCCTACTTCATCAATCACTGCTCAACCCATGCTCCCCGTCTTAAGGGATCGTCGCTCCCAGGATCTTCAGACTTAGATTAGGCCTATGGACTTTGATGCCATTCTACAGCTTTCGGCAATCCTATCTGAATACCAGCCTTTATCTTCCCAGCTTGATGTATCTATGCCTCTGACAGTTCCTAGGCAGGACCCTACTCCTACTTGCCATTAATCCAGTCAAGACACTACTTCATGAGTCCCTCCTCAACCTGTCTTGCCAGTCATTATGATGATCAGCTTTCTGACATGATCCATATTTCACACACAGTTGCCTATCATGGATCTCATGTCGCAGTACCCTCAAGCAGCTATACATCTTCCCTTGTCTAGTTTGTAATACTGATGCTTTTTCGCTCCACTGTTGGATCCAGACTTTGTATAGTGAGTCCCAGGTAAGAATGCCCGCCTCAGTTTTGTATGCAACCAGGCTTAAAAAAAAAATCATGGCATGACCAAAGCCCGAAAAAATATTCATATATCCAAGCCATTGACATTGACTTATCATAGAGATGGTTCATGGTGTCCAAATGGATGTTAGAATCCACCAGACATAGACTGATGTAGTGCTGATGAACTTTGAGGCTCCAAATGTGATTGGAGTGAGTGAGTGAGTGAATGAGTTTAGTTTTACGCCGCACTCAGCAATATTCCAGCTATATGGCGGCGGCGGTCTGTAAATAATTGAGTCTGGACCAGACAGTCCAGTGATCAACACCATGAGCATCGATCTGCGCAAGTGGGAACCGATGACACGTGTCAACCAAGCCAGCCGCGTGACCACCTGATCCTGTTAGTCGCCTCTTACAACAAGCATGGGTTACTGAAGGTTCATTCTAACCTGGACCTTCACGGGCAAAGATTGGAGTGAAAACAGACGATCGTTTAATAAAGATGAGAAGAAGGGTAGTTACTTTTTCTTATATATAGGGCAGGCTGGTATAACTGAATGTTAACAGAAGATGAAGGACAAAAGGACAAAGTTTCATGACTGCTGTATCTGCGACACCTCTGTAGACAAAAGACTTGGTAATTTTGACCCAAATTGGAGGTTATCGAAAGACCCTTTTTTCGCAAACATCCAACATCATTTTTACCCCTCAACTATAACCATTACAGACCATTTAAGTATGTTGTTTGACGAGTTAGCAATACAAACAGTACGCCCCATGGGGAAATGTCCAGAAAAGAATTTATTATGGCTAGGGAGATGCAGGTTACGGGAGGTTGCATTTTTTGCTTACAGCTGATTGGCTGCTTCATAATGCTGCCATTTGATTAGCTGACGGAACTATTTTCCCCCCATTCGTTCAAAATGTACATTCATTTTTTCCTGCATGAACAATATAACCACATATGCATGATGCTTCACATTTACCATATCAAACATTCTTCTGTGTACATGTGTATTTATTTTCAAATTTCAGTATTAATCAATGCTTTTGATACACACGAAAAATAAGTTAATCAGATTTGGTAAAACAATAAATTTGCACAAACTGTCGTCTTCTTAGAACAGGAAACAAAAACAAGAATGGCTACATATCTATCAATGATAAAATGAGAGAAGTATGGACACCCCTGCAAATTAAATACCAGTAATGCAAGCTACTCACCATAAACAAAATATTTTTTTTAAATCCATTCAATTAATGTGTGCTTGCCAATCACCAAAAGTCAAGTTTCCAGTGCACTGATTGACCCTGTTCAGGCAGTTACTCGGCCTGTGTCCAGGATACACCCTCCACTGCCACTTGTAACTCAAGTGTTGTGTCTATCCATCTTCATCCATACTCACTGTGTTTTCTGGTCCACTGCAGCTATGTATCCTAAGTGAACATGTCTGTCCTGTCTGATGATGGACAAAACTCCTTCAAAACATTTTAGTATCCAAGAGAAATCATCTGATTCAGAATAAGACTGCATCACTGTAAACTCCTTTCCCAGCACAGCCTGTATACTTTTGGTTTTCTTACACATGTGAACAATAACTGCCAGTTTCTTGCACAATGTGAGTTTGTGCTTCATAACCATTGATCACATCAAGATCAGGGTCAGGAACCTCTCAGTGTTTATATTTGACATTGACTGTTGCGTAAAAACATTTGTTCTCATAAAATTGATCATTGGATAACCATCACGTGTTGTAGAATCTTTTTATACCATTACTTAGAGCTGATGCTGGAGAAGTCACTAGCTTGTAACTATTTCCACTCTGTAATGATGTAAACCTAACCTGGTACAATGATGATGGTTAAACTAGCTTGTGAACAGTTTGAAGTAAAGTGTCTGTGTCTGCTTATCAGATATCCTGTATCAGTTATTTTGAAATACTTAATGTTGATGAGAAATGAAGCCAAAATGATTCTTAGTGCATTATTTTAGAATATTGCGATTTATATCCCTAGAACTAAATTTATTACAATCATGGAATCAGTATGTAGTTGGATTGTGCTTTGGTGAAATTCCCAGAATTTATTGCCATTTCACACATGTATGAAAATCACAAAATGTGTCTTCTCCTCTTACGTAAAGGATGAATGTAGGAATGTTTTTAGCTTCTTGTGTTGTATTTGATGGTAGGTGATAAAAACAATAAACTACCGTATATGACCGTCTATAAGACGACCCCATGGATAAGACGACCCCCAAACTTGACCCTTAAAATCAGTGTCAAAATGGTATGTTTCATGCATAAGTCGATCCCCTGCGATGGGGTCCTAATCGCGGCAAACACAGACCACAGACAACTGGCAGTTACCAATAATTGTAACTTTGGTCCACATTATTCAAAGAATTCACAATCATATATATTGTGTCTACTCACGGATCGAAACGAAGTGTAGTTGACAGAAAATGCATAATATATTTTGCTTCTCTAAATATCATATTTATTGTAGCAACAAACTGGCTTGCTTATTTTACCCCATTCAACAATCACGAACTGATTACCGCATCGTTTTCCTCACTCATGAGGAGGAAGGACAGATTATGCGTTCCTTGTGAATCAAATTTTGTAAGTAACTCGTCAAGGCTTGAGACGTTACAAATTTGAATTCACTTGAGATAGATGATCGTTCTTTCCTCATCACTCATACATTATTGTTGCTATCCAGTTTATCTAACACATGCAGCAAGTGGACGGGCCTCGATATACAGTTTACATATAAAACATTGTTTCCTGTGTTGACTTGACCTTCACTCGAGGACATAGTGGAGATTCAGGTTCACTGAAAATGAATTATAATCATGACATAGTTATTAGTACGACTGAGACATACATTTTGTCTGCAATGAAAATCCAGTATTGTATATTGTACCACTTGAAATGTATTGCATTTGCCACAAGATTTCTATTTACCAGACCACCTCCGCGGTGTAGTGGTTAAAGCATCTGCGTGTTCAATCCCTGGCCGTGTCATACCAGAAGACATTAAACTATGGTACTTGTTGGTCCCTGCCTGGCCGTCAGCATTAATGGGTATGACAAGGACTGGTCGTCTCGGAGTCAATATAATGTGTCTGAGTGGGGTATTCATGCTTCACTGAGGCATGGTATCTCAGTGGGCTAGCACTATAAAACCAGCTTAAGTCTGGGCTAGTACAAGCAGCCACACATACACATACCGGTACACACGCATTATGCTCATCGTCATATGAGCGAAATAATCTTAAACGTTAAACCCCATTTCACCTCACCAAACATTGAATTATTGCACATGACACATGCCTTGTCATGCTCATATTGGTGAAAAGACAGGACAGTTTAGAGGATTTCTGACGAATTTCTTTCAGTTTATGTCAAATAATACAAGCTGATTCATTATTAATGAAACATGTTCAACATGACTTAGTGAAAACATTAGAGTGGAAGTCTCTCCCTGGACACCTGATGAAATTCTCCCTGGACACCTGATGAAACTACGTGAACTTCATGTATAGTCCTTTGAATTTGTAGTTTAAAATTCATGGCAACAGCAGTGGCAAATAAGTCAGAAAACATGTCATAGATCAGCCATCTTCGCACTTTGCATAGATTTATGGTGTGATTGAATTCAAAAGGCCAATTTATTTTCAAATGCAACACAATCTAGAAAAGGGTGCATTGATGAAGGATTGCTTAGTTCTCGATTCAGCCATTTTGAGTCTTTTCCATCAGTGCATGAAATGAGTCTGTATGTTTTTCAGCATGTGTTTCTAAGACTGTATAGGCAGGTAAACTTGGAAATGCAGAAGATCACACTGAAGTGCCTGAAAATGTGTTTTGTATTACTCTCCCGAGATGTGCACCATCAGCACAAAACAAGCTAGGTACTTGAGAATGTGTAAATTGTTTTGTGGCAGGTATTTCCATAGAGAACTGAAGAGTTACTACGAGGGGAGCAAACTGTTATCCATATTTTGCCCAAGTTCAACTTCCAGCCTGCTGAGACTGAAGGATCATATCAGTCTACACCTGTTTGTGAGCCAGCCACCAGAGGGAGACTACGGTCTGTTTGCTGATACGTAAGTAAGACCCTCTGATACGCCTCTTATTTCTGATTTCTCACCTCACCTGAAGGCCATGTGAGTTTATATTGTGACAAAAAACATTATTTTTCCTTATCCTGACTCATGCTCTTTTTGCTTGTCTTCTTCTTCTTGCGAACATAGTGGAACACTTGTATCTCCCTAATTGAAGCTCCCTTCAATGTAAAATCACTAATTAGTACACCACGAGTTACCTCCCTTCCACAAGCGCGGGAACGAGGGCGCCACCTCTACCCATGTGCCTCACTCTCTCCTTCTTCGCCCAGTGAGCTGGACGTGAGAGCGCCTGTGTCTCCCGACACACTATATCCTTGGATTATATTTAGTTAGTTACCTCGTGCATAGACATCTATAGAGGTTTAGCTAATAGTATCCTTCAACAATTATATATTGATATTTAGTCGTGTTTCTACTGTTTATTCACGGGGCCATGTTTGTTCTGTGGATTACGTTGATGAAAATTCTGTACTGTTGCAGATTACGTTTTTATTCTGCTGCTGATCCGCATTTAATATGCCCTAGCTGTACTGGCGCCATGTTCATTTTATTCACGTGGCAGTTGCGGTACTAATTTATCCAATTCTGCCTTTAATAAATAAATACTTTATGTTTGAGGCAGCGCAGCAGATAGAGTCACGATGCAGAGTCTAGCCATGACTGATACACCTGAACCCTCGCCAGTCTACTGCTGTTGGTCGACCCCTCCCGTCTGGTATTCCGCTAGAGTGGTGGAGAGGCGTGGGGCGTAGTCCGCGCCCCAAGAAGCGTCCTGCTTCCCCAGACATCCCATCGTCGCAGCCGAAGACTAGAGGGCTTCTACTGCATCTCAACGCAGACTTCACACCCCAGGGCAGCGTCGACCTCTGAGGGGAAATCAAACGAAGTCTACTAGAACTTTCTCAGCCGAGATTGTTCCCGTCGCGAATTTGGGCCTGTATGATGATCAGCCGATCATCATACCTGATGTACATCAAAAGAATGACCGATGTCGGCAACAGTGATGTCAGCGCAGATCAACATGCAGCCTGATGTACTAACGCTGATATTGATGATCTTCCTGAGGGTCCCGCCGCTACCAACACTCAACGCGAGACTTGCACCCCAGGGCAGCGTCGACCTCTGAGGGGAAATCAACGAAGTCTACTAGGACTTTCTCAACCGAGATTGTTCCAGCCGCTGAACTGGGCCTCTACGATGATCAACCGATCATCATCCCCGGCGTACGCCACAAGAAGCGACCAGTGACATCAGCAGAGATCGCCATGCAGCCTGATGTCTCTACACTGATGTCAGACGACTTCCCTGAGGGCTCAGCAGCTGTCATCGCCCAGAGGGCACCGACCACTTCGTCGCAGACCATCCCAGACGCGAGCTGTTGCGGCAGATCATGACCATGATGGAGGGCCACTACAGGCGGGAGAAGCAGCCAGCCCAGGGCCTGAGCAACGCAGACAACACCCCAGAGGCACCCCCAGTCAGCGTGGCAGCCACGTGGCGGCAGCCTTCGAGAAGGAAGTCACAGACCACCTCGACGAAGGACCCAGATGTACAGTCTTCGCTGGCTTTCGCTTGCGACGGGGAGAGATCGTCACCGTCCTCGGCCTCATCCTCAGATGCGGACTCAAGGTCATCCCATAGGCGCCCAGATCACCTAGACGATCTCCACGCGTTCACCACGACGATCTCCACGCATACATCACCACGTCGATCACCTCGCGGAGGTCACCACACAAGTCGGCAGCGTCACCCGACATAGAGATAGCAGCACACAGGTCACCATCAGAAGAGCATCAACCTCTCATCACCGATGCTGGTACAGAAGATGATGGAGACATCATCTTCTCAGATGCTGAGATAAGATATTGGATGGTAAACAACCTAGATTTATCTTCACCGTCCAAGAGTGGCAACTCAGCAGACATACCTGATGAAGGAAGGCGATGTAGACGCGTCGTCACCCTACCTCCGATCGACCCGATTGCTGCGGTGCCACAGAATGTGGACACAGCCTACCATAAAGGCATGTAAGTTCAAGCGCCAGAGCGTATGTTCTTTGGCCTTAATAGATCTAGAACGATCAATGAGATTCTTATCACCAGATTTCGTGACCACGACTTCTGAAGATGATAGGATGATCTACTCGGCTCTACTTATGCAGAACCAGCAAGAACCACACCCTGTATGAAGCTAACGGCTCATATATTGATCGGGACTCTAGACACTTCGATAAGGAAGTCCCAGGCGCCTCGGCGAAGGAACTAGAGCCCTCACCAGTTACAAGGGGCGTCACGGGAGGAGTAGCGCCATGCGACCCACATCCTGTTGAACACAGAGGTCGTTCACGCGAAGCAAGCATGAGTCAGGATAAGTATAAAATATCAATTTTTACTCAAAAATTACATATATATATACTGATCGGGCTCTGACTCGATACCTTCCGCGAAGGTCGCGAAGGCTAAGTGGCTCTCAAGTCTGCTTCACCCAGAAGATCTAGAAGGGATACTTCGAGAGCTTCGTGAAGTCTCGGCGTTCACCGAGGAAGTATCCTCCAAGGTCTCCATATACTAGCCACTTTCGTCATATATAGCTACTCGTCAGTCCGTTCAAGACATCGCATAAAGTGTCTATCAACTGTATGCCATATGCGTCTATAAGCCTACGCAGAAGACAATTGCACAGGCTATTTACAACACAGAACGTCGCTATATTAATTAGTCAACGGCGTTTCATAGATATTCACAGAAATCAACTTTCTGTATAGATTGCTAGAATATGCTATCCCACACTTCACGATCACGATTATCTACTTAGCGTGACCATTACACAGATCTGCAGACAATTCAATATCGAAATTGAACAGCAACCTGTTACAGCGAGTATAACTCATAATCGTCAACGTTTCTGAGAAGTAATATGTACAACAAGTTCAGCTTTAATTCTACAATTATGACGATACATTCATGTATACAGTCTACAAGCTGACATCTTGCAAGTTTATTGTACCTTTATATAAGGAAGTCGAATTATATTCAAAACTGAGTTACTTTCGACAGCCAGGAAAAATAACCTACCCAGCATTAATATTACAGGCGAGGTATTTCGGCGAGGAGGTTTCGTGGCGTTTACCATTAACCCTCGAAACACGTGGTCACTCGGGTAACTTCGAAAGCTACGGTGAAGACCGGCGATTATGCTAATATAAGCGGCGGCAAGATTTTATACAAGGTTTTTCCTGCTGCTACACGGTGACATCACAGCGGGTATTCTACAGAATCAAAATGCCTTCTGATTGGACCCGCTGATGGACAACGCATTCCACGCAGAGGTCGGTCTTAGTTCACAGTTCAAGACTCACGTTACAAGTGACAACTATATATCAGTGAGCGAGCAAGCCTCCTTACAGTCCAGTTAATCTGAACCTTCATGATTGGGCTGCTTTCTTCAGGTTAGAGACCTCCCCTGTCAAGTTAGGGCGAGGGCACGGCAGTCAGGCGATTTTACATAAAGTTCAACGAGGACAGACACACCTGGTTGTGCACCTACATCGTCAAGGACTTCGCGAGCGAATTTACCTAGACGACGGAATACAAGTGGATCTAAATCCACAGCGTCTCAGTCTACAACTGAATTTCATCATCAAACTACTAACACAACTAGATGGTTAGTAAACCTACTTAAGCTTTCTGATTGGAGGATTAAAACGGAAGTTTCACGCTCCAACTTCTCGGATCTGTATATAGTGCTCCAACACCTCACAAGTGAGGTTTATGAACACGCCTGGATGACATACTTGGACTTCATGATACGATGATTCTATCACGATGGCCAGCAAGAGCACTGTAAATTTATCTCCACCGAACCAAACAGGAGGGAAAAATGCATCAGATTATTTCCTCTATATTCAAGTTACGCAGACTGAAGTCTCATGTACTACCATCTCCTTGGATCAGAACTGTCATACTATGTGCCTACAAGACTGATGGACCCGATCCGACCCTCCATGAGCTTCTAATACTCATGATATTAGAGCTAACTTCTACAATTGATCTACACAAATGTTATTTGAAATTATGGAGGGGTTATTTCTGGAGATCCGATATGGTGGTTGCCAACCATTATCTGAGAGATATCACCGTCAAGGGCGTCTCAGGTATCCACCAATTCGGTTCCAGGGTCCTCGCACAACAGTTGACAGTTCCTTCTCGAGAAGATAAGTCAATCTTACAGATTTCTACTTATCTTATAACAGTACTAAATAGCTACATGCTATATATAATTTGCTTAAGTTCTTTTTATCATCACAGTACTATGATTATTACATCATACAATATATAAGTTAACAACTCTACAGAGTTTGTTATTATATATTTACCTTAAGTTAATCATATCTTTAAGCGTAGTACTATGGTTGCATTATAAATGCATTAGCTAATAAACTCTACAGAGTTTTGGCTATTATATAATGAGCTTAAGTTAATTATATCTTAAGCATAGTACTATACACATATTGTAAAAATATATTAGCTTACAAACTCTAATGAGTTTTTGCTATTATATAGGTAGCTTAAGCTTATTCATATCTTAAGCTCAGTACTATGTTTATATCATATAAGTATATTAGCTAACAAACTCTAAAGAGTTTTTTGCTAATTGGCTTAAGTTTCATCATATCTTAAGCATTATGGTTACATTTAACATGTATTAGCTAACAAACTCTCTAAAGTTTTGCTATTATATATGTAACTTAAGCTTATTCATATCTTAAGCGCAGTACTATGTTTATATCATATAGGTATATTAGCTATCAAACTCTAAAAGAGTTTTGCTATTATATATTTGGCTTAAGTTTCATCATATTTTAAGCTTTATGGTTACATTATAACATGTATTAGCTAACAAACTCTCTGAGTTTTTGCTATTATATATGTAGCTTAAAGGTTTCCTTCATATCTTAAGCTCAATACTATATTTATATC